CACTCCAGCCTGGGTGACAGAGCAACACTTCATCTCCAAAAAAAAAAAAAAAAAAAAAAAAGAAAACTACAGGACATGAAACTTGCTGCCAATATGATGGTTCTGAACATATGCAGGAAAAGCAACAGGAAAATGCTTTTATCAAAACTGACACAGAGAACATACTGTTTAGTGAAAAAGCAAGTTATGTAACAGTATGTACAATATGTTCCCACTCTTATAAAATAATAACAATATGCTAGCACATGCATAGAAAAAAGTTGGTTACAAACCACTAAAACATTGGTTGCTTTTGCTTTGCACATTTTCAGAGCTAACTTTTATTAAGTACTTATTGCTAGGCATTATTCTAAGCACTTTACATATATGAACTTAGTTTATGACACTAAGATGGGTACTATTAGCCTTATATTACAGATGAGTAAACTGAGGCACAGAAAAACTAAGTGACTTGCTCAGGGTCACAGGGCTAGTAAGTAGTGGGGCTGGGATTTCAATCCGGGCAGCCTAACTTCAGGACCTGGGTGTTTGACCACTTAACTGTAGCCCTAGATCAGGGGTCCCTGACCTCTTTGGCACCAGGGACCAGTTTTGTGGAAGACAATTTTTTCACAGACTGGGGTGGGGTTGGAGGGACGGTTTGGGGATGAAACTGTTCCACCTCAGATCATCACGCATTAGTTAGATTCTGCTAAGGGGCACCCAACCTAGATCCCTCTCATGAGCAGTTCCCAATAGGGTTTGTGCCCCTCTGAGAATCTAATGCTGCTGCTGATCTGACAGGAGGCAAAGCTCAGGCGGTAGTGCTCGCTCACCTACCCCTCATGCTGTGTGGCCCTGGTTCCTAACAGGCCACAGCCCCAGGGTTGGGGACTCCCCTGCCTAGATTACTTCTAAGCCTTCTTCCAATTCTAAAAGTCTAGGAACATGGGGTTCTAAGCCCTCTGCTACCCCAGCAGTAAATAAGGGAGAGGGCTCCCCAATCCTCGGAGGTCAGAAGTCTCCATTCCTCTCACAGTTGCCTCCTGGTTCTGATTTCCGGACTCTCTCTGGCAGTCAGTACTTCTTATAAACTGGGTTTCCTGAGAAAGAACTCTCCTGTGCAGTGGGACAAATGGACGTGACCCACGGTAGCCTGGGCCCAGTATAAGATCTGAAAACCAGGCAGCCAACTGCACCCTCCTGCCCAAAGGCACCAGATGTCAACAAGATGAACACTAAAGATTTCCAGTCAATGCCAATCCCCGTGCCTGACGGGCGTGTTTACCAGCTGGCAAACAGTGTGGGTGGTAGCTGGTTCCAAGGCACTCCAAACCCCTGTGCGTCCTGATCCTGCCCCAGTCAGGAAGCAGTAGGGACTGACTGCTTGACAAAAGGACCCACCCACTCCTCGCGGAACAGAAAGCCTTTCATTAAGAAAGGGAGGTATTGGCTGGGTGCAGTGGCTCATGCCTGTAATCCCAGCACGTTGGGAGGCCGAGGCAGACGGTTCATGAGGTCAGGAGTTCGACATCAGTCTGGGCAACACGGTGAAACCCATATCTACTAAAATACAAAAAATTAGCTGAGTGTGGTAGCAGATGCCTATAATCCCAGCTACTTGGGAGGCTGAGGCAGGAGAATCGCTTGAACCCAGAAGGTGGAGGTTGCAGTGAGCTGAGATTGTGCCGACAGAGCGAGACTCTACTTCAAAACAAAAAAAGGGAGGTATCGCTGCGGTTGGCCTCTCCCGACAGATTTGTCAAAAGTGGAGTGTTTGCTCTTCCCCTCTGACTCTTTTAAAAGGTCCCATTTTCTGACTATAGTTCCTGATATTCTGTCTCTAAATCTTCAAGGCAGGTCACCTGGTACAGAAAGCACAAGGGATTTAGGATAGTTAAGTCAAAAAACAAATACAGTAAAATGTTAATTGTTGAATCTAGCTGTGAGATATATGGCTTTTCACCATACAAATCTTTCAACATTTTTTGGGTAAATGTTTGAAATTTTTCATAATAAAATGTTGGGAAAAAAGCCCTCTGTGCACCTGCTGTTCTCTCTCTCAAACACTCCTCCTAGCAGAAACAGATGGCTTCCGACTTATGATGGTTTGACTTAACGGTTTTCAACTTTACAATGGCGCGATAGCAACTCACATATAGTAGAAACCCCACTTTGGGTACCCATACCACCACTCTGTTCTTTATTTTCTGTATAGTACTCAACATATTACACGAGATATTCAACACTTTATTGTAAAACAGGCTTTGTGTTAGATGATTTTGCCCAACTGTAGGCTAATGTAAGTGTTTTAAGCATGTTTAAGGTAGGTGAGGCTAAGCTATGACGTTCTGTAGGTTAGGTGTATTAAATACATTTTTGATTTACAATAGTTCCTACTTACCATGGCTTTATCAGGACATAACCCCATCATAAGTCAAGGAACATCTGTACCGGCTTGCTCCCCACCTCACTTCCATGGATCTGTACTCCACTGTCCCCTTCTCAGGGAAGTTTTCCCTGACTGTCCTATTTTTTTTTTTTTTTTTTTTGAGACAAACTTTCACTCTTGTTGCCCAGGCTAGAATACAATGGCAGAATCTCGGCTCACTGCAACCACTGCCTCCCAGGTTCCAGCAATTTTCCTGCCTCAGACTCCTGAGTAGCGGCATTACAGGTGCATGCCACCATACCTGGCTAATTTTTGTATTTTTAGTAGACACAGGGTTTCAACATGTTGGCCAGGCTGGTCTTGAACTCCTGACCTCAAATGATTTGCCTGCCTCAACCTCCCAAAGTGCTGGGGTTACAGATATGAGCCACCGCACCTGGCCTCTGACTGCCCTATTTAAAAGGACAGCATCAACTTCCCTTTCTGCTCCCCTTGACAAGGGTTCCTTGTGTTCCCCTTTTAGTCTTTCTTCACAGCACTTATTAGCATCTGACACAGTATATATTTTTACTTGTGTATTTGTTTTTTGTTTTGTTTTGAGATGAAGTCTCAGTCACCCAGGCTGGAGTGTAGTAGCACAATCTTCGCTCACTGCAACTTCTGCCTTTTAGGTTCAAGTGATTCTCCTTCCTCAGCCTCCTGAGTAGCTGGAACTACACCATCACACCGGCTAATTTTTCTATTTTTGGTAGTGACAGAGTTTTGCCATGTTGGCCAGGATGGTCTCAAACTCCTAACCTCAGGTGATTCACCTACCTTGGCCTCCCAAAGTACTGGCAACACAGGCGTGAGCCACTGTGCCCAGCCATGCATTTGTTTATTATCTGTCTCCCTCTATGAGAATCCGAGCAACATGTAGACAGGGACTTTTGACTGCTGCGGTTGCTGTTGTATGCTCAACAACAGGGACTCAGTCCATAGTAGGTGCTCAATAAATATTTGTTGGCAGAATAACAGCTACCATTTCTGGAATGCCAAGCACAGAACCAATCATTTCGCATATTTCATCGGAAGCCTGTGAGTGTAGGCATCA